ATATATATATATAGAGTGCTTTTTAAACTCGATGTATTGATTTGATTTACCGAAGTATCTGAAATTTCACAGCACAATTAATATATAAAAATATGTTCATGTTTTTGCTGACGTTGAAATATAAAATATATATAATACAAAATAGCGTTTTTATTATATAATATATTCTTTTTATTGTAAAAAAAGAAATTATTTTTTATATTTACCTTATTTGAATATTTGGGATTTGCCTTTTCCCATCTTTCTTTCTTATACTAAATATTCAACAAGAAATTTACAAATTGTAAAAAAAATTTCAGCATTTTGTATTTTATTCACGGAAAGGTCAAACGAGTTAATGGTACATGTGTTAATTGTAACATATTATAAACTATGGTCATTATATGCAAAAAACGTAATGTCAGATCGTATTTTTATAGTGTATAGATATTAGGATTTCGATGTGAAGTCTGTGGTCAGGTTTTGGCCATTAGTTGATGTACTGCCAATTGTACACGTAGTTCTACACAGGCATCTTTTTCCTCAATAATACTGCGTATCAATGTCGTCATCTTTTTCTGTAACGAAAGAACCGTATAAACGTATAGAATCAGATCGAGAAATCTCCGTCGTGTGATAGAACGTACTTCGAGTAACTGATTTTCTTTGACTAGCTGTATCATGGCCGTCATTTCAGCTTCGTTGGGAGAATGCGTCCTCTCTTTGGGTTTCTTCTTCTCCGTGCCGCGCTCCGTCAGCATCTCCATCAATCGTTTGATCTCGTTCCTCTCCTGACTGATGCGAGATTTCAGTAACGCCTGCATATTCAGCAATTCCTCATGGATCAATCTTTCTCGCAACTTATCTATGACGTCTTCTTCTTCAGGTTCTGCATATAAATCAAAGATGTATTAATTAGTTTAAAAAAAGTTAAGATATGGTATTAATTATTACCGGTCGGTTTGTCATTCGGCGATACATTTTCAGATTCTTGCGGTATAACCGTTGCAGCTTCAACCGCGGAATCAACCATGTCTTTTTCTTGTACACTTATGCTCTGTTCATTTTGTGTGGCGTTTGCACTGGTATTTGCCGAGCAGGAACATTTCTCTTTCGCCTCTTCTACATTGTGCAGTTTATTATCTTTTTTTATCAAGTTAGTCAACGATTGAGCATCGCTAGATTTTGCCTGTCCGACGTCTTCATCTACAATCTTTGGCTTCTGGGTAGATTCTATTGGGACATTATCGGATGATTTTATTTCTTCGTCTATACTCTTTTGCGTAGCACCTTCCAATTTTTGAACCGTTTTATACTTTCTCTGTAACAAAAAATGTAGTTACTCTCTTTATATAAGCATGTAATATGCAAATTTTTAAAATGTCCTTGCAGCTGTACCTTCAATTGTGTTATCATCCGTTGTACCTCCCACAATTGTTCTTCACGAGATTTCGTCACAAAACCGGCGTTCATCTGCATATGAATTTGGGAAAGTAATGATTCCTGCTTGGATAATTCCGCAGTTATACCTTCCACGGAATCTGGCAGATTGGTACTACCGGACGATAGCGGTGGCACATATTTTGTCAATTGCACATTCGGAAACAATGCCTTGCAATGAAACAATAGAGCCAATAGTAATCTGTGGCTCATTTGCAAAACCGGACTTAATGTCATCGAGATCGTTTGTGCGTTCATCTTCGTCGTCTTCTCCTGAAGATTCATTAAAAATCGATTGATATACGTTTCATTGGGATAAATCGAGATACAAAAAGTTTTTATCGTGCCATAATCAATTCTTATTTTAAGTAAAAATTGAAATCTGCAAATTGAGAAATTAAATCCTTTGAAAAAATTTAAGCTATAAAGTTCCCTATCCAGGCTTTTCGCATCGAGTTAGTAATATTTCGAACGTACTCGTGCCGTGACATGATCCAAATGTAATGTGACCCACGCCAGGAGAATTCTGTTGCATTCCGGTAACTGCTGCGTCAGCTGGGCCAACTGCGCTTCCCGCTGCGCAACGTCCTTGGTCGAGGCGGCCTGCTCGAAGCGCGATATCGTTTCGCTGTTCTCCAGCACGGGTTCTGGTAGTTCTCTACATCACCACAATGCGCACTTTTTCGTTTGATCTTAAAACACATGGTGAGAAAGAGAATAGAATCGCGAGGTATACAAACCTAAGAAAGAGTATCAATAAGCTCGTAGCTACCGTAGGTTCGAACTCAGATATATTCACCGGCTCTCGGTTATTATATAACTTCTTCAAGTGTTGAACCTTCGACTTCACCCCAGGGACTTTGTACAGGCCTTCCACGTTCATTCCATGCTCCTCCACGTAATCTATGCAATCTCGTACCACTAAGGGTAACTCGACTCCATCGTGACAACAACTTCTTTCAATGGCTAGGTGAAGGCTAACACCGAAAATCGGTTGTTCCTCTGAGGAACGTAATACGTATGTATTGAAAAAAAACAAGATATTAACCACATTTGTGTATAAATTATGATCTTACCACCGATATCCAATCCTTCACCACCAGCATGTTTTCCTTTCTTCCGATCCTTTAATTTTTGCTTCGACTTGTCTTTATCCTTTTCCTTCCGCTTTTCCTTGTCTATATCTTTTTCATCCTTTTCCTTCTTCTTTTTATCTTTCTCCTTCTCAACATCTTTTTCTTTTGCTTCCTTCTCCCGTGACTTCTCTCGCTTCTCTTTCTTTGATGGGAATTTAAAAGCTTTGGTCTTTTTTGATTTCGAAGGACTTCTGTGTAGCAAAATATATATCAGTCCGTAATGCATATTAAAAGCAGTTTGATAATCAATTAATCATTTTGTATATGTAATGAAGACTCTGACAATAAAATAAACGTTCACTGAACACATAAGAAGCAATATAAAGAACAATATCAAGTCATAAATATTCGAAATAAGCCGATTTTCCATTTACAAATCAGAATTCAAAATCGATAACAAATGTGGTGCAACAAAATGCGCACTACAAATGACAAGTACAGAAACAACCATGGATGTGCGATAATTAATTCTAATTATCAAGTATCAGTTAACAGTCTACACTTTTCATACACTTCTGATAAACATCAGATTAACATCAGATCTGTTAATCGCGTGCATTAGCATTTGTATGTTATCTGAGAGAGACAGAGAGAGAAAGACCAAATAAAAAATACTATTAATAAAGACAGGAATCGCACAGCTCTCCGCGCGAATATTACTTTGTCTCTTGATCCTCGTCCGGCGAACTCTCACCCTCTAGGGTCGCGTAACCTCTGTCTTTCCGGTCCTTCTTGTCCTTCCGCTTCCCTCCCAGGAGCTCCTTCTTGGAATGCTTATCGTGACTGCCTTCATCACTAACTGCAGTTAAAAAAAAAATTATTGACGTGATGTAAATATTAGTAAAATAAAAAGGAGAATCAGAGAAGTAAATATGTTTTTCTGCATTCTTTGACAGATGATGTAACCTCTTCATCACCTGACCGTTCAAGACGCAAATACAATGTAACAATGACGATCACGTACAATCGCTCTCGTTGCTTTTTCTCGCCGACTCGGACGCGTACAACCCGGGAAATTCTTTTTCAACGTCAGGACTTTCGAAGTCCATTCTCCTTCAATTTATACGCATTTGCGTCAAACGGTTTGACACTTGCCCGTGTGTCAATTCGCATGAGATATCTCGATGATAATGTTCGACTAGTCGATATATCGTGTTCTCGAACTGCCGTTTAAATGTCCGCAAAATAACATCGTTTCTCCTTTTCAGCTATTTTTTTTATTAGAATAAAAGAAAATTTATTATAATAAATTTATTATAATATATTTATTATAATTATAATAAAATAAATGAAAGAATAAAAAAAAATGCACTTCAGCAATCCTGTTGTATTTATGTCAAATATATATGTATTTTGCTTTTCTTATTTTAACTTTTTATAATCATTGACAGATTTACATGATTGTCAGATTCTTATCTATATAAATAACAAAAAATTATAATTAAAAATTATAGGGTCTTCAGTTCTCATTTAACTTATTTGATTATATTCTTCTAATATCTATTTTTATGATTTAATAATTTTATTGGGAATAATTTTAGATAGTCATTAATTTTAGATCAAGTCAATTATATATATTTTTATTGACTATACACTTAATTAATAACACTAGTATGTAATTATTATGTATTATAATCGTGAACAAAAATTTTTATTTAAAAAAAAATCAATTAATTGAAGAAGTGAATAAGAGATAGCAATAATTAAAATTTAAAAAAGGGAAATTTGTAAAATAAGATTCGATATTGTTCTATATTTTATGTCTTTTTTTTTCTTTTCTTCAAACGACGATGAAAATAACATTTGTGGTATTTTCAACTTATCAAAATTACATTAGTACTATTTATGCAGTATCTATGAACACATGTTACATAATTTTATTATCTTCTTCGTGTGCAGCAGAGGTGTAAAAACAAATGTTCCATGTACGGGGCATATTTCGTAATTGCTTATGTGGGTCACACGAGACTGGTTTCCTTACGATTTTATATTGTGCGGTATTTTCACTCGTTTAACCCAAGGCACACCTTAATCAATGATTTATCTAACATCGCTGTTGGAATTTTTCTCTAAACGATATCGATGAGCAAACTCTTTAAATGGTAACTATAGTGAATGTAAATTGCAGATAAATTGGAAATGTTAACATGATTATATGATGTACTTTATCC